AGAGAGAGAGANNNNAGAGAGAGAGAGAGAGAGATGGGTCAGAAGGGAAGAGTGTGTGTTACAGGTGCAGGAGGGTTTTGTGCTTCTTGGGTGGTAAAGCTTCTTCTCTCTAAGGGATACACTGTCCATGGAACTGTCAGAAACCCAGGTCTTGAATGAACCCCTCTCTCTTTTGCTTTTCATTTTCCTGTGTTTTGTTTCCACCTCTTAATGATCTCTCTCTACAAGATCTCACCTTTGACGCCTAGCAAAAAAAAGAAAAAACAAAACAAAGAAAAGGATCCCATCTTTGAATATCTGCTTAAAGATTAGCTTAATGGAATTGAGATTGTTCCCATTGAAGTTGCAGTTTTTCATCAATTTATATGTGCTTCCATTTTGAAGAATTTATATGCTGTGTCAATAGGATTAGCTTGATATTGCAATGAGTTTACTTTACTAGCTATGGTTTGAGTGATGCTATGATGAATTTTAAGCAGTCACAAATGTAATGGAGTTGTGAACAGTTTTAAGGAATGAGCTAGAAATATGAAGTCTAATCTAATGGAGATGCATATTCTAGTTTGGAGAAAACTCAGTCTGGTTCTCTTTATGGATTGAGTTGATTTTCTGATCTATGAAGACAATGTTCAGGGACTCAACCGAGTGGCGAGTCACTTGGACTCCACACCTTGTCGACCCGAGTAGAAGTTTACAAACTTGGTAAATTAAAAAATAAAAATAAATTCATAAAAATTATATTTCTTTAGTAAATCAATGGATAAACATGTTCCTATATTAGTTTGATGATTTGATGATCATTTGTGAACTTTTTATTTGCACTATTTTATATTTTCCCCCTTTTATGATTCTCTTAAGTATTTCCAGCTATAAATAAGATTGTTCTAAAATCCATCTTTTATATTTTTCATCATTCTTAGACTTTTAGTGCTCTTTATGGTGTAGTTTGGTTTTCACTGATTTTTTATTTTTATCAATTTTTTTTGGTTGTTTCAAATTTATAGACTTCTTAGGATCTCACACTACTTAGGTGAATCCACTTGGACTCGCCTGAATAACTTGGCTCGGGCCCGGGCCAGGGCCCCCCAGCAGACTTTCATAACATTGAGGAATATATTTGACATGATAGACATCATTGAGCACCATGACATTATTTTGATCTAGATTCTCTGGTGAAAAGGTAAATGAAAGAAGTAGGAAAGAAGTTCAATGAGGAAAAATAAAAAGGAAGTAACGAGGGGGGAAAAAGAAAAAAAAAGAGAGAGAAGAAGAAGACAGAAGAAAAGTAATGAAAAAAAAGAGGCAAGAGGGTCCGTTACAGTCTTGCAGCATAAAATTTGCTCCCAAAGTTTATGTGGGAAGAGAGAGAGAGAGAGAGAGTGGTTTCTTTATAATCTTCTCTCTCTTCCTTTTTTGGGTGGTAAGCTCCATATGAACCCACAATCTCAAGTTGCAACAATCTGTGCCTTCCAAATTGCAATTGCCAACATAAAGTTGAATTTGCCTATTTGGAAAACTTATTCATTTGGTTCTGTAAGTCGAAAATGCAGGGATGCATCAAATCTGAGGAATGTTGGCCAAGACAATTTGTTAGGATGCATCAAAGATGTATTGAGAAAATTTTAGGTGATCTTAGGATGAATCACACAAATCTCCCTAACTAGTTGTCTTGGCTGCAAGACCAAATATATAATTTGGTTTCACAGGGCCACCATATAGGGCTGCGAACATTTTATACCGACAGTCCTTATGTGAGATAGGTGAATGTGAGGACATTTTTGTTTTAACTATGAAATGTATTTGCATGCTAAGAAAATATTAGATTCTAGAGATGTCTTACTGGCCTTGTGATATCTATATTAGAGTATTATTCAACTCCTGGAGAGATCAACTGGCACTCTTATAGTGCTCTTTCTTCTTCTTTTTTTCTTTTTTTAGGGTCGGGGGTAGTTCAGTGGTAGGAATCAAAGTTGAGATGTAGCGTTGTGAACGTCAACTGCTAACAACTCAAGCCCAATGCGGCTTCTAAAAAATTGGGAAAGTGAGCTTGATTTGTTTTAGGGTAAGGCCAAAATTGAACCCTTAATCTCTCGTTTAGAAGCTGAGGTGTCAACCTTTTGGCCAAAGCCCACAAAACACTCTTATAATGCTCTATCTGATACTGAAATCATTCCTCATCCTTGTGCTGTTCGGAATTACCTTACCGTTGTTGAATCCATGCAAATAGACAGAATTCATTCAATTGGTCTATTGTTTGCTGTCATAAAAGTTATTTGAATAGCTATATTTATCATTGTTGGAAAAAACCTAATTTACTTTCATGTGGTTGCACTTAAAGAGAATCACTATGTCTGGAAAATGATGATTTTACTCTCAAAATCTCAATTCCAAATCAGAAAGTATCAAGATTGATAAATAGGAAAGTAATCCCAAGTGTCTAATAATGTATGCTGGCCTGTTATGATTGCTATATGTAAATCTAAGGACAGCTTAAGTATAGTAAGCGTAGTTGCTCACTATGAGGCATTGTGTTTGCAGATGATGAAAGAAATGCCCATTTAAAGAAATTCGAAAATGCCTCAACAAATTTAAGACTCTTCAAAGCAGATCTCCTTGACAACAATGCCATTTCTTCAGCGATCTCAGGATGCCAGGGAGTTTTTCATGTTGCAAGCCCAGTTCCACCAGGCAACGTGCCAGATCCAGAGGCAAGATTATGTTATGCTAACATTCAAGAAAAAATATTATGTTACGCTTTTCTTTCTATCCCTTGAGAAAAATTGGAATCTAAATTCTCAATTCACACTTCTTAGAAGTAAATGAACTCGCGATCTCTCTCTGTAAATCCTGAAAGAAATACATAGACGTTAAGTTTCTATATTTGTTGGACTATGGATGAGATTTCTTTCATATTTCAATGCTTATGCCTGAGGGTGAATTATCATCTAAAGTTCCGAGGAATATCATTCGTTCTCTTATAATTAATGTAGATACTTGTTTCGGAGCTCTGCGCTTTTTCATATGTTCATCGGCATTAGAAAGTTAGGTAATAGTCGAATTTGTTCAATGCAATCCTCCTGTGCATGGCAAAAATCTATCATATCCAGTCAAACAGAAAAAACATTCATTTTGAAGTATTACATCTTCTCAATAAATTGGATTGATATTTTGTAGAAAGACTTATTGAATCCAGCAGTGAAGGGAACTTTGAATGTGCTAAAGGAATCTAAAGAGGCAGGAGTCCAGCGAGTTGTCTTTGTCTCCTCCGTTGCAGCTGTTATGATGAACCCCAATTGGCCTCAAGATAAGGTCATGGATGAAAATTGTTGGTCTGACAAGCAATATTGCAGGACTACTGAGGTAATAGTTCAACAGATTCTTTGTGGGTGTTATAATATTTCTTCTCTCTTAATTATTGAGCTCCTCCCAAACTTGTAGCACAATTAAGTATACTCATATGTAAATATTAAGACTATCTAATTTGCATATGAAATCCTCAACCTAGAATCTAGTATCAGAGAGAAGATCAAAGTTACATGCTTTTCACATGGGTTCACTTGCAATCATGTATCCTGGGGAAAGTGAAATTTAATCAGGAGACAATGGAAAATCGCTGTCCATTGGATCATCAGTTTCCACTGCAATGATGGATGGTGATGAAGAGATAGTGGGACCCACCATTGGGTCATTTGATATTGGGCATCACTCTCTATCCATCACCATACATTTCTGATTACCCACTTGATTATCGTAAAAAACCAGTAAGTGTTTGATAAAAAGAATATGATTTTTCCATATTCCAATGGATCTTAATCATCTCTCACATTGTCCATTGAATCTTTGTATGCTTTCCCTATATTTAACACATACCACTGGACATACTTGAGGTGATGTATTTATGCTTTATTTTCCTACTCCGTTGCCTCATGTAGGTAGATTTTTCCAAGTGCATGTACATGATATATGCTTGGAGTTGAACTTGATTTTCATCACTTAGAATAAGAAATATTCTATGCTTTCTTTTTATTTTCTTGCCTCGCATCCCTTTTACATGACTAACTTCCAATCTTCCATTTAGGCCAAAAAAAAAAACGAGACTTCCAGTCTTCCACCTTATTCTACTTTGAAACATTAACTTTCATAATAGAAGCAACATATTAGTATCTGAGAATTGTTGTACAGTAAAACATTTATTGCTTCCCAATAGTATAGTCTAGTGGGTTTTGTGAATTCTCCTTTGCAATGCTATAGAAACAAATTTTCTTGAGGGGACCTTCTCTGTGGATTATCTAACTAAATGTAATCACTCTTTTGGCTTGTACTGGCTAGAATTGGTATTGCCTCTCAAAAACCATGGCTGAAAGTGAAGCTTTTGAGTATGCTCAGAAAAGTGGACTTGACCTTGTATCAGTTTGTCCAGCGCTGGTGCTAGGACCGATGCTACAACCGACAATAAATGCAAGCAGTCTAGTTCTCATCAAGCTTTTGAAAGGTATGTTATCAATTGCGAAAGTTTCTACGATCATGGGAAAGGGCCGCCGTATACTGTCATCATCATCAGAGGTTTATCGCAACTATTTGGTGACGCCGTACAGTACATTGTACCTAAATGTTTTTTCTCATATTTCATCTTTGTGATTCTTTCCTTGTATGTCACAGACTCACAGTAGTGCTTTTGGTTGATTCATTTCATAAAATGGTTAATAATATTGATTATAGTAATTCTACATGTTTCGCTAATTAGTAATAAGCTAACATTAAGATTATAATGTATATTACTACCGCCAATTTTGGAAAGCATTTTAATCTATGCAATGATCCTTCCTTGTCTCAACTATATTGCTAGGTTGCTGTCACATAGACATAACAAAACTGAATTAAAGGGTTATTTTGTTTCTTAAGCAACTTGTAGCTGCTCTCTCTCTCTCTCTCTCTCTCTCTCTCTGAGCTTATAAGATCTGAGCTCATAAGAGGATTCACTCTATTTTTCCTTTTTTTTTCTTTTTTTTTTTGTAATTCAAAACAGGAGAACAACAGTGTGTCCCCAACAGAACTCGGTATATCGTTGATGTTAGGGACCTCGCCGAGGCCCTTTTGCTCGTCTACAAGAAGCCGAATGCTTCTGGAAGGTACGTAGCTGTGGACCACAGAGCCAAAGTGAAGGAAATGGTTGAGATTATGGGGAGCCAATATCCAAACTACAACTACCCAAAGCAGTGAGTCCATCTTCTTTTATTGGGATATGCAGGTGTCTCATTTTCTTTTAATCCTGTTTTAATGCTCCAAAAAAAAATCCAAGTGGAATAATTTTGTCATATTTTTTTATTTTGTTTTCTTTTATTTATTTTTGGCAGGTTCACTGATGGAGAGGAAGATGCAGTTCAATTGAGCTCAGAGAAACTCCAACGGTTAGGGTGGAAACTCAGGCCTTTAGAGGAGACTCTTCTTGACTCTGTTAAATATTTTGAGGAAGCTGGTCTTGTAAGTAGGAGTTGAGAGAGAGAGAGAGAGAGAGAAAGAGACAGCATGTATCAATAAACTTAGAAAGATTTGATACATTTCAGTTAAGTTTATCAGAAAAATGGTGGATTTCACACATTTTCACGTGATTGAAGTGCATACATTTCGACATACTCTGAAAGAACTGACTTAAGGGCTCCACACTGGTCTGGAAATTTATCAAATTGCCTATAGAAGATGAATTATTTAACATTTTACCATTCCAACTCATGATCACTATTCCAACTCCAGCAGCCTATGCTTTTCAATGGATGCTTTGATGTTAAATCAAGATATTTGCGTAAACTGTTGAATAGTTCATCTCATCTCAGTGTGCCGGGACTCGCCTCAACGAAGGGACTCAGCCCTTGGCTGAGGCAAGGTACTCGGCTGAGTCATGCTCATAGCCCAAAATACTCCAAATAAATTAAAAAAAAATGGAAAATTTTGAAAAATAATGGTATAAGCGAAATAAAACCAAAAATAACTTTAAAAAGTTAAATACGCTTAAAAAAAGCAGAGAAAAAATGGATTTACAGTTTCTGAAATTTTAAAAAAATCTAAAAAATAAAAATAAAAATAGGAATTATGTCAAAAGATACTGACCAAACTTTGTCAAAACATGTAAAAAGAGATTATATAACATTTCTACATTTAAAAAAAAATTATTTTATTTTTTATTTTTATATACCACGAGTTATGCACACAATTTGGGTTTACTCAGCTATGTTCGAGTTACTCTCTGTAACCTCTCTCCCTCTCTTAAACCATCTCTCTCCTTTCTCCTCTAAATGCCTATGTTTCTCTCCCTCTCTCCTCTCGCCTCAATCCCCCGAAAGAGAGAGAGAGAGGTCGCCTTAATCCCCAAAAGAGAGGGAGGTTTAAAAAGAAACGGACGTTTTTAAATTTTCTTAGAAAAAAACGTACTTGTTTTTAAATTTTTTTTAGGCAAAAAAAGTGAGATCAAAAGAGGTCAAGTGGATCCAGAGATCAGTAAATATGTTTTTTGGGACCTTTATGCCTTAAGAACTTTTTAAATTTTGGATTTATTAGAAATGGTGCCATGCAGGGAGATATTTTTCTCAAAAAAAAAAAAAAATTTATATAAAGGTGAAGTCCAAAAAAATCAAATTAAGGAGCATATCGAAAAACTCACTAGTAGACAATCTGCGTTCGAAATTGCAGCTCAGGCCAAGTACTTGGCCCACGCTCGAGCCAATTAATAAGAATATTATATTTAAATTAAAATTAAACAAAGCACTTCTAAATGTCGTTTAAAAGTAGTAGCAAGAAAGTAGATAGGTTGAAAATTAGTTTGTGACTTGGGATATTTTTAAAAAATTTAAACAAAGATGGGAAAATGTAAAAATAAGTATTCAAGGTCAAAATACTTTGTCAAAATGATGGAAAGGATATATATATATATATATATATGAGAAATGATCCCTTAAGACCCTCCCCACCTATGTGTGTAGGACCTCAAAGGATCGCCATTAAATTTGGCACGGATCTATGAAAAAGTCAAGTTCTACATCAATGTGATAACTTTTTTAGAGATCTGTGCTAACTTTTATAGTGATTATTTGATGTCCTACACACATGGGTGGGGAGGGTCCAATAGAATATTACTTTATATATATATATATATATATATATATATATATTTCTTATTTTTTAAAAAGTTTTATAATTATTTTTTTAATTTTTTAATACCCCTGAGTTGGGGAGTTGGACCCCCCAACTCGAGCTCACTTATGTTCAAGCCCTAGTTACTTGGCTAAGTCTGAGCTAACTTGACTAATTTTTCAAACACTGGTTTTGATGCTGAAAAATTCTTAATTCGATCATCTTGACCTCAAGATATATGGACATGAGAAAAAATAGATTTCAAGTGCATCTTATAATATATTATCTAGATTTTCAATTTTCAAATGTCCATGGATCCATTTGACCTACACTATTTTTTAATCTTTAAATTTTATAATTACAGATAAAAATAAATTTTGAGGTTACCATAAAGTTTTTTTTTTATACTGAAACAATATATTTCAATATCATTTGAAGGTAAGCCTTATTTTGATTGTTTAGAGCCTTTACACTTATACAAACCACATCCAAAAAAAAAAGAAGAGAACCCACCCAAGTAATAAACATGGGCCCTATGTGTTTCTTTGTTAGATGGAAAATTGTTTCATCCGGTCTCGACTGCATGACTATATATTATATGTGGTCCAAAAAGTGTAAAATATCCATCTTAACGCATCATATAAAAACAATTGGAACTAACAGTCTCAAATGTTTTCTTACTTGATTTGTTATTTTTAATTTTAAAATTAATTATTTTTTTATACTTATGATGTCCATGTTAGAGATTACAAGTCCTTAAAAATTAAATCCGAAAGACTATCTCAAAAATAGATTACATGTGCGTGCGTGGCCGCATAGAATCCAGGTGCTTACTAGATTCCAAGGGAAGACAACGAAATGACCGTTACTTTTTCTGGATATTAACATCGAGGGGTCCAATTAATAACGCTTGACCAGATCTTTAATTAATGTGGGCCGCTAGGGTTGGTCCCTGGGATCACCTTATACACATGATCTTACACACACATGCTCTCAAATCATTTAAAGCAAAAGGCCCTTAAAAAATTGGAGTTTTTTGGACCAGTGTTTGGAAACTCGGCCCGCCAGTTTAGATGGTTCGGTCGGGTATGCTTTTCATATTATTAAGAATTTTTTTTGTAATTTTTTTTTATTTTCTAACACTTTTTGTCCCGCCATGTAGCTGCCCAGCTACGGCGGGTAAACTCCCTGGTTTACGGGTTTCTCAGACCCGGCCCTTGGCCAGGTTCGGAATTTGATTAGAATTTTAAAACAAGGCTTGGACCGCATGATGAGGCCCAATAACTGGGTTACCGTAGGTTGAAGATCGTGGCCCGATGGCTAGGTTACCACATCTGGACGACAAGGCGATAGGGCCACGACAGGTTCAGCCCCACCAAACCCCTTTCTTCTGTTTCTTTACTTTGGATTTCATTTATCCCGACCCGGCCCATTCGGTTTAGAGCCCGGCCTAGAGCAATGGTCCGTAGTTTTTTTTTTACGATCTCATCTTATCAATTGCTATTATCCATGGACATGCAAAAGATGCAGAGAGTGACGGGAGATTGATTATTGTAAATAGATCGAGAGACCATCCACATGCATAGGCATAGAGAGAGCCAGAGAGCTTGACTATTGAAAGCAGAGAGAGAGATGGGTGAGAAGGGAAGAGTGTGTGTTACAGGTGCAGGGGGGTTTTGTGCTTCTTGGGTTGTGAAGCTTCTTCTCTCTAAGGGATACACCGTCCATGGAACTGTCAGAGACCCAGGTCTTCAATCAACCCCTCTTTCTTTTGCTTTTCATGCTTCTCTGTTTTGTTTCCACCTCTTAATGCTCTCTCTCTCTCTC